TCAGGATGAACAGATTGTAAACTGCCCATTGCAAACACAATAGGCAGCAATTTAGCATCCAGTAAATACTTCATTACCTCAATTCCTTACATTTATACAGCCTTTCCCTCCTGAAGCTTTCTGAAATTGAATTTTCCAGTCTACACTGAGCAGTTCAGATTTTAATATGAATAGGTGTGAACATTAGCTACTGAATTATTTGAGGGCATATAGATTTTTTTATATTTTGTTGGATAAGTCTGAAACATTTGTTTCTATTGTTTTTTATTTTACCATCTTATTAAAAAAATAAGAGAAAAATACTTTCTTGATTTGGGGGCTTTTTGTGGTTTGTTTGTGGTAATAACAAAGCTTCTCAGAAGCAGAGTTTTTCAGAAGCAGAGTTTTTAATAAGCTTTTCAGAAGAAGAGTTTTCAATACAGTCTAAAAAGTAAGCCTCTCATAATTTGCTTCTTGATTGTGTTTTCTTCTTATTATAGAGAGCAACTTACAGACAAAGAGACATATTTGTCTCAATTCACTACAGAGCTGCTAAGGCAGTTTTGGTCGGTGTTTAAATGCTTCAAGTGATTCAAGCTATCTATCACTTTTCCCCTTCAGTTCTAGAGATCTTGATAGGGGTAGCCCTGCTTCTTGTGACCCCAACTTAATTTTCTTTCTCCTATAGTTTAATTCTATTACTATTCTTGCTGCCTATAACCTACCTCTTTTCCTTAGACAAATAAAATGTGATTTCCTATTTTATTACCCACAGTTATCCCACAGTTCTCAGAGTATTTGGCTTTACTACCCTGGAAGGTTCCAAGTTACTTTTAAGAACACCATAAACGAGAAAACCCAAAAGGCTCTTTCAAGCTTTTGTCTGCTGAGTAAAGCTTACCTTGTCTTCTAACTGTGATCCAAACTACAAGAAATAATGGAAGAATGGGAGGACATTGATAAGGATGGTAACAAAAAATGTGATCTGAAGTAATTCTGGTTGAGAAAGATTTCAGGTGGTCACTGGTCCAACCTCCTTACACCTGAGGGACTGAAAACAACTGGTTTAGTCTTGCCATTTTCTCCTGAGGTTTGGTTTCTCTCCTCCCACATCCTTGTAAATCCTTGTCCTCATTTCTGGCTTTGTCAGAACTGAACATGTCAGGAGAGAAAGGATGTCCTGGTGCAGCCTCTCAAGCACAAGATGATGAGCAGGAGGGAAGAGCCTCAGAAATCAGCAAGGGAAAAGAGACATGAAGGTGGAGAAGGGGTGTGTGTGTGTGAACAGAACTGGTGGGGAAGGTGGAACTGATGGAGCAGAGAACGTGCAAAATGGACACAGGACTGAACTGGCAAAGGGAACTGGAGGGAAGGCAGAGACCATCTTAAATGCCAGCACCAGATAAGCTGCTGATACAGTCTCTGAGATCTCAAAGGGCTGGAAGAGCAGGGCTGCATTTTCCCAAATCTATTAAATGGGTTGAGGGACTTCTGAAGGTGTTTAAAAATTACTTGAATTACCTGGTGTTCTGGGTAGGTCCTCAAAAGGCTGTAATGGAAGGCTGTGAAGAGGAGATCAAAGTGGGGAGACTGCTAAGGAGTTCTTAGCAAACGTGCTCAGGGACTTTTGCAGGCAGCCAATAGAGGGAGAATGAGCACTGCAGATCCACAGTGATCAAATTAACTGTTCTTACCTATTCTTTTCTTTTTCCTATTTCCTTTCTATTTGCTCTTTCCTTTGAGCTCTTCCTCTTTTAATGTTCCACCTCTTGACTACCTTTCAGTTCACGCAGATTTTCATTTTACTTCAGAAGTGCATTATTCCCGTTCTGCTGAGCTAATCAGATGTCATCTCTTGTTTATTCTGAAAAATGCTGAAAAAAATATTTTTACAGAGGCTTTTCTCTAATCCAACCTTGAAAATTGTTCTTATTTCCAGAGAGCACATTCTTTTTTTTTGTCCTTTGGAAAATAACTTCCGTCTCCCATCTTTTTAATACAGCTGAATTTTTGACATTTTATTTTCAATTTTTAATTCTAAAACTGCACACTGTCATCAATATGAATGCTGAAGTAGGAGACAGCATGGAAAATGTATAAGTTGCACAGTAAAAGCAGCTTCAGCAACAAAGGTTGACCTGAGACAGAATAAAGTGTTTAAAGTCCAGAGGGCTTTCCAGTCCAACTGTAAGAACTCCAAAGTAGGTCAGACTGGCTGATGGCATCATGTTAAGCCTTACTCTGAGATGGTTTTCAAAAGAACTCAGGAAAGTCCTTTTCCACGCTCTACATTCTTCTGAGACTAGCAGAAAGGATGGGGCTGTCATCTGAAATACAACTGGAATGTCTCAAATATAATCCTATGAGCTGGGTGAATGCTTGTATGATAAAAACACTTCTGTGAGTCAGAAAAAAGGGGGGAAACCTGTATTTGTCATTCAAAACACTGTGGTGTTTCAGACTCCTTGAAATTGTTATGAATCCTGACTGGTGAGTGACACTGGACATTACTGGTGACACACATCATTAAGAAGCATCCCAACTGGTAATGACTGATTTTGTATGATATGACTGAGGCACATTTTGGAGGAAGGCTTCAGTGGGTGACTTAAGCAGCATGATAAAAAGTGGAAGAGACAGTTCTTTTGTTCAGCTGTCTCTAGCAATGGAAGCTGGAGTGTAGGAGGAACTCATGGGGAAGAGATGTTTACACATGAATAGAGTATACCCTAAAAAGCAGTAAACAACTTTCAGCTTGCTTTGGTTTGTTTACCCAAAAAATCCCCAAACCCAAGACAAAAAGAAGTCAGTATCCTTAATACTCAGTAAATTACTTCTTTAACAGTCTCATTCCAGCTCATTCTTCTGGGATGACCTGTAACTGTGGATCATCTGCAAGACTGTAGGCATGCAGACATTGTTTTTAAGTTTAATCCAGACAAATTCTGAACTTAGTGCAGAAGCCTGCCTCCTTTGTGGCTGCATTACAGGGTGGGTGTGCTCAAAAGTGAATGGAATGCCATGGAAAACACATCTGCTCAAGAAAACAGGTAATTTTCACAAGTACTTAAAACCTAGTAGTTTGCCAAGTGCCAAGGCTCAGTGTACTAACCTGGAAAAGGGCAGTGATGAAAGAAAGAACACTATCCATTAGAAGTTTAAGGCAGCATCTGTTTTTGTCAGTCTCCCAGTAAAATCATACTCATCATTCCGAAGGTAAATGAAAAAATCAGAAAGCAAATTACTTCACTGAGAATATACTCCCATCACATTATTCTTCAAACCACTCCCTTTTACTGTACTGTCTCAGTTCAGTATCTCAAATTATTTATTTGACTGGTGGAAAAATACAAATCAGTGCAAACAAAATACTCTGGCTATATCCATAGAGTACTTTCCTACTGGAATATTATTTACCTAAAGCTGATTTGAAGATGCAACATTCAGTTTTCCTAGGACAAGATGACTGAATCTAAGATCAGATGGGAGTATCCCTATGCTTACATACTGCCCTGTTCCCCTTCCTACATTGTACAGATGTAAATACCTTAGGTCTCCATGTTACTTTTTATAGCTTCTTTTATTTCAGGGTAAGGTACTTTATTCATAAATGCATAATTTAAGCAAGATAATGAACCTCTAGTAAGGAGTAACTCAGACAAGCAATCTTTGTCTTAAGAATGCCCCTCAGGGATTTCAAACATCATCCCCGGAGGCTTCTGATATTATATTCAGCCTGTACAAATGAATTTGAAGACTGTACATCTTCTACTTACCCAGGAAGATATCTCTATGTCTGTTAAATTACAGGGTGCCAGGAAATAGATTTTGCATAATAAACCTTATTTCAGGGATAGGCAAAATTTCTCTAAATAACAAAAAATGGAAAAGCCACTATGACTGTGACAGAGGAACAGGGACCACAATACTGTAAAACACCAAAAGACCTTTCTGTCCACTTATTTGGAGTCAAGGAAGTTACCATGTGCATAGCAGATACATGGTTTATCTTTTCTATCAAACAGAAACTGCCTCACACTCCATTTAATTATTTTTATGATTATGAACTATGCTTAAACATATTAATGTTAACTGTAAAAATTAGCATTTAAATACAATTCATGAGTATACCAAGACAGAAAAATACAAAATAACGGAAAGAAACATAATAAATGACAAAAATTCAAGAGAATAGGCTATGTAAAATATTGGAAGTTTCTTCCTGTCTAAGAGATAAACTAGCCTAAACAAATTCTTATGTCCAAAGCTCAGTATTTTAAACTAAAGATATGCACAAATTAGCATGGTTGCTAGTGTTGTTATGAAATGTCATTCCTATTGCTTGCTTGTGCCCTATTGCCTCAGAAAAAAGATTATTCCTCTCACATATGACCTCCACACCCAAACCAATTCTTTCATAACTTCTTGCTACAACTTCTATTTCTGAACTGTAGGTATCAGTAAACCCCAAAGTGTTAACCCAGTAATACAGAGAGAAGGTTGTTCAGCAGGTGTTTTGATTGCCAAACAAAAGGGAAATTTTCTATCCCCTGCATATTAAAAAGATTACTTTTTTTTTCCTGTGTTGTTCAACCATTGAAATGATGAAATGGACCTAAATTAATATAAACTTATGGGTCAGCAAATATAGAGCTATACCTGTAATCTTAACTGGCTCAGAAAATTTCTTTTCAGTATAATTCTTTATGCATAACCTCCATAATTTTCACTTAGTAAAGTTAATACCTATTGCTGTGCAACTCCTTCAATACAAAGTGTTATGTTAGTGGTATATATTAATATGATGTTATTATTTGCTACTCGAAATAATACTTAACAAGCTCAACACTTTGATAATTTGTTCATGTTGGCAAAAATTAAATACTGAAACCATCTTCTGAAACAGAGTTTTTAAACTGTAGTTACAATATAAACAATATAAATGGTAATTTGAAGTTAAATGTTTTAGAAACTTTACATTCCAATTCATTTCATACATTGTTTACAACTGAAAGGGTCAACATTTAGAATCTGTATTTAAGTCAATGCTAATAATCAATAAACTTCTGTTTAAATTAATGCAAAGCATGAACTACACTGGAAAAGAAGTTATTCACTTTACTAACTACTTCTAAAGTCTTAAAGTCTGAAAGAGTTTTAAAATGTTCAGTACTGTGTGTGCAAAACAGCATTTAGTGTCTTCAAAGAACTCTAGTGGCCAGACATCTCTTGTACCAGCTCTTCTCTTGGCACAGCTCAAGACTTCGGGTCTGTGGTTGCTCTCAAGCTGACAACTCCTGGGCTTTGGAACAACTGGCCTGGATATGGGAAATCTGCAGAACTGGAAGCAGTAACTGGAAAGCATCCTGGATATAAGTAGTACTGTTGCAGCCCTAAAGGGGGGAGAAAACATGTGGGTCATCAGTACAGCTGCCATGTACTTCAGGAAGGACACTGGACTTTTTATTTTCCTTTTTTTTTTTTTACCTTTGCATCATGCTATATTAGCATTGTTTCATACAAGACTTTAGAATCAGTAGATAGCATAGCCTGAATAAATATAGAAAATCTGACTGCCACTAAGTTTGAACTCTAAGTTTTGTTGGTAATATGAGTAGAATAAAATGCCACAGTGTTGAGAAGCAGATTTGTCTTAAACACAAGCCAGCTAGGCTTTCCATCAACTGAACTAATTTTGAATTTGCTGTAGGTGGGAGAAGTGTCACTGAAATTAACAGTTCAAATTATAATGGTTTTAACATGTAGTACTATTTTTGGAATTTCTAATACTGAACAGTATAGTGCCCTGTAATTCTCCATGATCCTAGACTGTATTAATACATACTTGTATACAGCTATGGGATTTATGAAGTACAAAACATTGTATTCCACAATTCTAAATATTCCTAGATTTTGCAGTTCCTGGAGCACAGGAAGGTAAGTCAGCAGCTACAGCATATTTACCCTATAACAAAAGGAACTGCATGGTAGTCTTCACTACAGCTCTATTCAACTTTCCTTAATTTTCCTTAAAGGTATTGTTAATTCAGTGCAAAATTGCCTATTGTAAAGCAATCTTCTCCTTATTTTTAAGGGAATGCAGCTATTAAATACAGAATGACAATATATGGTCACTACTTTATGTTTCTTTCTATCTATGATCTAACAGAGTTAAAAACCTGTGCTGCAGTTCCTATGAGTTTTAGGACTTTATGAGGATATTACTTCATCTCAACCTCTTCTTGGTAAAATTGAAGTATGTTTTATTCACTGTGCTTTTCTGAAGAAAAATAGAACATGGTGTCAAATAAAAGAAATCACTCATGAACATTTTGATGGTCTGACACATGGTTATCCATGTGCTGACCAAGGCTGTTGCTAGACTGTGAATCTTTGTAAAAATCTAAATGCCTGCGGATGAGAAACACTGTAGCATACCTACAATCCAAATTTTAAAGGAAAGAATACTCTGAAGGTGCAATTTGTTACTGTGCTCTGACCAGTACAGCAGCAAAGTTTCAGAGCTGGCCAGCCTCACTTCAGTCATACAGCTCTTAAGAACCCTCAGTAAATGCAACCTGACTGCTGAAGTGTTTGGGGGAGAGGCTGAGCACAAAATCTATGTTCTGGCACCAAACAGCCAGAATGATATTGTCATTACTTTTTAAATAGTTTTTGCCTTTGGAAATAAATGTGCCTGTCTCATTTAAAATAATTTTATTAGAACATTTTCTAATGTGAAGAGGTGGAGCTTACCTCTAATAGCACACTGTTAATAATGGGGTTAAGAACCTCTGCCTTCATATTGCTCTGTAAATCAGAAAACAGAATGAAAAGCCAGGTCAAGAAATACACTTAACAGAAATATACTGATATCAGAGATGTGATTTTATGAATTCTGTAGAGGTCTTCTTTCACCTTGATTCTTACCCAGCCTGTTTATCTCAGTATTTCTAGCAACTGTTGTCTGCATTTCAACCATACCTCAGTACACCCTATGCATTTCTACCACAGAGTACAATGAACCCTGAGGCCCAGGGTTTTACTTCTTCATTACTTCATGTACCACAGAGTTTCAAATTGCTTCTTTCCTACAGGTGTGAGGTTTATGTAATGACATTGTTTGTCCATCTGTCCATCAGTGACCTTTTCACATCCCACAACAATTTTAACTCCTTGCACATTTTCAAGGACACCAAAAGGAAAAAGACATGTCAGAAGAAAAATTAAGTTCTTAGAAGTTACACAAATATCTGTGGTTAGGACCAGATGAAAGGTCCCTGACAGAAGGAAAACCAGATGAAACTCAGATCCCCAAACTGGAGGCAGCACATGAGCTGGGCAGTGCAGGTTGCCCAGTGAAACAGCTCAGCATGCATGACCTTCCTCTCAACCACCAGATAGGAAGACAGATGGATACAATGAGTAGTGACACTACTAGAGGCTAGAAAATCCAGATTCATTAGCTCCTCTACTTTTTAAAATGGCAAAAGTTCTTCCCTTTTTTATTCACACTGTTCAATGCAATGTGGTTTTTTAGAACAACAGTAACCTCCAGCAAGAGTTGTTTTCTTTCAACACTGAACACAATACTAATTAATTTAACTGAAGGATTTCGACTTACAACCTTGTAGCTCTCATATTACAGATTTACAGAAACATGAAACTTCTTAATTTTAGTTTGGAGAAAGATGGCAGAACCAAGGAGAGATGGTCAGAGAAAATCCATTACAAAATGCACTGTTTAGTGGGCCAGTTTAGTATTTGGTGTGCAATTTTTTTTATATTTTTGTGCATGCATTTATTTCAAGTGTCCCACAGATATATGCTAAAGTACAATCCCAAAATGTAAAATAAGCATTTTTTCCTTGCAGTAATTGGAAGTTATGTAAATTATTCATGATAAAAGGAAATACATAAATCACGTCCTTAGCAAATAACTATGAAAAAAGATGCTCAGAGATGTGCTGGAAGAGCTAATGGAAAACTGGAAAAATTTCATTTGAATTACATTCATGTTTTCATGGAACTATCAGGAGAACCCGAATTTGCTCTTCTCTGATGTTTACAGAAGATTTCAGCAACAGCACAATTTTTACCTCTGAATGCTGCTATAATACTGAGATGTCAGTCATCCTTGAAGCATCTTGAAAGGCAGGACACTATTTCTAGCAAAGATGTTCACAGATAAATGGATGTTCTTAAACAGAATATCTTATGATAGAAGACAGAATGATTTTTTTTTTAAGTTGGACCAAACAGATTTTCTAATCTTTTAAACCTTTTGAAACACTGCAGTGCTAAGCCAGGGGATCTAGTAAAGGCTAAGAAGACAACTCATGAAACCATCTTAAGGTACTGCAAGTACAATCTGTTAATGACTTTTACACAAATGTGTTTAAAAGGGATAGGCTAAGTCGGAGAAGAAATTATCATCAAGCTGTGTAACTTCAAATGTGGGGCCCTTCAATGTGAGAAGTGTTGAGTGGTGATCGGGAAAAACAGGAAGTGGTTTCTAGAAAGAGAGAATTTATAAGGCTTGTAAACTTCCCCTGCTGTAAAAATGCTCTGTGTTCTTGACCTGAGGAAAGAAGTGGCCTCTTTGCTGATATAAAGCCTCTGGACCCACATAAGAATTTCTGTTTCAAGAGGTGAACTTTGTTAAAAAAACCCCAAATGCTACAGAAAATGCTGTCATCTTACCCCAGCTGCTGTTACAGAATCAGAAAACTTCTTTGATAAAGATGAAACTTCATTGCACATGGCACTTGTTAAACTGGTTTAAAAAAACAAGAGAGACAAATATAAAAATACATTCTTGACCTATTAATAGATAAAAACCCCATGACAAACTTAATCTTGGAAGGAAAGATGTTTTTAAAGCAATTTTGCTTCTAAATATCTTTAAAATATTTAGGCAAAACTGTTCATGATAAAGGTTTAATATTCCTTCACTGAAAAATCTACTGGTGACTACAGCAGCAAAATGATGTGTTGTTGCACACACCAGTTTTTTTTGACAGTGTAATATTTCACTTGTTTAAATTCTAAACTTCCAGTTCATGTTTTTTCTGATGATTGCAGCAACACAATTTCTGGGAATACTGTTGGAAATAAATCAAACTTGAATGAGAACAGTGAGAAGTTTTCTACTGAACAATAAAACATCTACTCTGTGCTAAAAGGGAAAGACCACTTGTGGTTAAAATATGAGAGAACAATTCTGTTCTGAGATCTTTCATTGTTTTCCTAGACATTCCCAAGTGTATCCCACAGGGCCTCATCCTGCAAGGTGCACTGTACCTTAGCTCTGATTCTGAAAAATACTTAATAAGTGCTTTGTTTTAGACGGAAGTGTTCCTATGGACTTTGCTATTCTTAGTAGCATTCCTAAGGACAAGCACTTGGTTAAATATTTTACTTACTTAGGGGTCAATTGTTTAAAGTATCTTAACATGAAAACTTACTGAAATCAGTAGACTTAATAACTATAGAGAGCTTGATATTTGAGTTTGGAGTCCCACTAGACAGACTGGCTTCTTGAAATTCTGGGTTACTATGGTTAACTACAAAGTTGCTAACAATTTTGGTCTATTGTTTAGAACTACAAATTGATTTTTTATATTTTTGGCAAATAAACACTAGATAATGAAACTCTGTTGGCAGATAATAGGACTTCATTAGACACTCTAAAAACAAATTCCATATATGCAGGCACAGTATCTTCTTTAGAGGGAACAGGAAATGCAACCCAAGTTGGCACATTTGCTTGCTGGAGCAGAAATAACTTTTAGCCTGTGTATAGGTCATGTTTTTGTAACACATACATATGTCAGCCATGTCAAAAAATGACAGGTAGCCTATAGAACCTGATTTTATGAGAAAATACAGCACCAGGACCCCTAAATGCAGTGCTGTTTGTTGATCCATGAACTTACTGTGCCTTCAAGCTAAATGGAACTTCATGAGTTCTATGCAAATGTCAAATGTTCATATATGAAGTACATATTACTCACTTTGTCAGTACTTTTGCTTGATCTTGCGCTGTTTTTTCTACTTCTTGCCCATGTAGAATTAATTCTGCTACTTTATGAAGCTGTTCAATACAACGAGCAGTTACCTCAGCCAGACTTTCAATGGACAGCATGTAGATTTCCTTAAATTAAAATGGGAATAATATAATCAATAATAACAACACTGATAAATATATTTATAGATATATACATATAAAAGAATTTCAAACATAGGAATCCTTCCTACCCCAACTGGAAATACCAACACATACATGGTGAAGTAAAATCAGCCATCTTCACAAAAAATACTGGAAAATTAAATATCCACAGACTATAAAATACATTCTACTTGCTCTGAAAAATTAGTAAGATCAAGTCTACCGTCTGCTTGGCTGGGAACTAGGTCAGGCTCTTGGATTTTCCAACATACCACTTTTAAACCTTGTCCTAACAAACAGAAAGGTACTTAATCTCTAGAATAAGTCACAATCATAATTATTTTCATAGGGAGCCAAAAGTACTGAGCCATCCCTTAGCTGAATCTCTAGAGCAGAAATAGATAACATGCCCAATAAAAAATTGGCTTTTATCAACAATTATAGAAATCTGTATGTAGCACTGTGGGGTTACAGCTTTCACAAGCTGATGCCAGCTGGTAATCTGCAATCACATAAAAATCTGTAATATATACAGTGTATATATTCTGTCTGCTTCTTAAGACTTTTTTGTAAGGAAACACGACAGATAATTTCTAATTAGAAATAATCTCAACAAAGATTTAGTATTTAGTACTAAATACATTTAGTATTGCCATTAACTTGACAGAAAATACTCAATCACAATTAACCTTATCAGAACTGTCTAAATGAACACTTTTAGCCTTAAGAGCTATCTTTCATAAACAGAATGAACAGTTGTTAGTTGCCTAAATAATATTTGTTTTGTCTGTTTATGACTGAAACTTTAAATAGTTTGAACATTTTCCCACGTATTGTCACGGAGAGAAGGAGATACTAAGAAACACTGAGATACAACTTTCAGTGTGCATGTAATGTTTGACATTACCCCTCAGCATCCCTCAGCTCACTGTATGTTAAGTATACACATGCTTAAACACAAAACCACAGATATAAAACCATAAAAACAATGCGATAGAGAACCTCTCACTGTGATATTTACTTATGGAAACAGAATAACAGTAAGAATATTTATGTAATTTAGTCTTCAACTGGGTCTACAGTGAATAGTTGTGTATTATTATTTCTTATTCCATGAATTTAAAAATTAAGGATGACATATAAAGCCAACACACAAAGAAACAATCTTATCACTTAATGAAACTTATCCTCCAAAAGTTATTTTACCTCCACAGTTTTGCTTTTGTCTACTTCTGTTTTATCACTCTCAATTGTATTGTCTTTTTGAGTCTTTTCTTCACCAGGTTCTTCAGGTTTTTCATTTAGCTCCTCTTCTATGTCTACTGGGGTGGACAAACTGGCTTCTTCCAGCCATTCATGAGCTTTTTTCCTAGCCTGCCAAAGAACCCAACCCCAAAGTTCAGCTTGAAAAGAGACTGAAATGACATTCCTGAACATCAATTAACAATACATTTAATCACTTCTTCTTTATACTCAGAAATTTGAATGTATGAAACCTCAGAGTGGCATTTAAGAAGTGTACACTTAAGAAATTGTAGGGAGAATCATTTTGGACTGCATAAAGATGGTTCATCCAGGGATAATTCCTCTAAAGGTATAATACTCCTAACCAACCAATATACAGCTGGTGTTAATTCCAAAGTTAATATTTCACCTTTATCATTCAAAAGAGTTTGCACAGAAATTTTTCTTTACACAGTTTTCCAAACAAGAAAATAAGAAGTGTGTATAAAAAAGAAAAAAAATTTGAGATATTTATTAATTCTCTTTTTAAAATAAGAGAAATTTATTACATTCTTAAAGGAAAAATAAATATAAAATCGCTGTATCTTGAGCTGCTTTCCCTGGCATGCAAATAGATCAAAGCTGAAGAGTCCTGAGACTTTATACAAGTTCAGACTACTGCTATGCTTAGTAGGAAATCTACGATGACTCCTTTTTAACATGAAATCAAATTAAAACACATTAAGACCTAAGCCTAAGCTAGTTATCCATAGTCTATCTATGTAGCTAGAGAGACAAACACTCATTTGAGCTTAAGACCAGCAGATGAACCAGCTTTAAAGGGACCTGATAGTACAAATGTGACTAGTTATGTGACTAGCTCCCAGACATCTCACTTTTGTTCTAGTAGGTCTCTGGCTACAGAGAGTAGCACACAACTCACTTTTAGAGCAAGAAAAATTATTCTGAACCTGACTTTTGTTCCCAGTCTGTAAGATCAAATCTGCTGTTCTCATGAACTCTGTTCTGCTGAGACACCCCTGATTCAAGCCTTCTAACACTGGAAAGGGCTCATCCAGCTGCACTGCCTTACTCATCTCACTTCTGTGAAAGCTTTTCTATATTCAGCATTTTAGTCTCAGTCTACCATACTTTGCTCTCTGAGCTGTCTGAAGTGAACTGGCTACTGCTCTGTGTCAGACTTCAGAACAAAGCTCTCCTTCTTTGCTCAAGAAACTGAAGGCAGCTCAGTAACAGGTGCTAACCTTATTTAGCTTGTCAGGAGTAGCAGCAACATGCAATTCAAACAGCAGTTCTGTGAGCATGCTGACAAACTCTTCTCCTGTATCTGCTGCAAGAAATAACAAGACAGTTTTTGTTAGAGTGTTACTGCTATAGTATTTTATATGATCAAATACATCCAGTGAAATAGTTTCACCAAGTATTCCAGCACTAAAATAGTGACTGTGGCACAAGAAAGGAATGTATGGAGGTGTGCATGTATATGCACCAAAATTGCTGATAACTGGGATATTGAATTGACTGTTCACTGTGATTACTCTCTTATTTAACCTCATGTATGAAATTTTTGGTGTTAAAAGCTTTCAAAATGTAGGTAAAGCCACTTTTTCAAACATTCTCCTCATTATTTCATAAACAACTGAAATGAAGCTGCAGTGAAAAATGCATGAAAGGGCTGCATAATCAAAGTGAGAGGAAGCATTAGAGGGAAGGGTATGTGTGTGGCCTTCTGCTACTTGTACCAGAAAACAGTCAGAGCTGTTTCCGCAGCCTTAGGAGGAAGGAATGTGTTTCACTGATGAGTGGTTTGCTTTTGCAAGGACAAATCTGCAGCACACTTTGCTTTGGTCTCTCTTTTTAAGGTGCTCACTGCCTTGATTGCAACCCATTCAAAACCCTTGCAAATGTTTCAAGGAGCAGGATAAGCTGTTGTGATTTACTGAAAAAAACCAGAACTTCTGACCTTCAGAGAAAACATCACTTTGTGCAAGAAACAGAACTTCTCCTGGGAGCTGGTTTCAAATCAAGGAACTACTTTCCACAAAAATTATGGAACAACAGACATCTCATGAATCCTCACTCCTAAGCAGGTAATACATTTTCTTGACTTCTATTTTGCACAATTCCATAGAGGTATGGGGTTTAAAGAGTAAATAAGAGGGGAAAAAACAGCACAAAACTTTACCACACTAAGACTTTATGCTGAGCACTTCCTGTTCCCCTCAATGAGAAACAGTGAGTTTCCTGTGAGAGGGATCAGGCAAGCTGAGTAAGCAGTGCCAGAAAGAGCAGCCTGAGAAGAAATTACTCTCCTGTTAGAACATGTGAATGTTAACACAGTTTTGCTAACTTTTCTGAAGGCTAAAGAAATCTTATCTCACCATCTTGCAAAATGGAGGTTTTATGGGCATAGTAACCCTGAGAAGACCAAGAGGATGTGGAAGAAATATCCTTTTATGTTTCTTTGTTTCCAAAACACAGCAACATGGCCTTCAATGGCATAACCCAGTCTTCAGTCAGGTCAAGGGGATTTTTGCTGTTAGCTCTAAGAGGTTTGGTATGGATCTCACAGGCCTGGAGACATGAACCATGCTGCCTTTAAGCTGACTTTTTACCCTTCTGTTCTAACCTGTTTGGGGAACTGCTAACATTTCTGACCCGTTTAAGACACATATTTTGCCCCAAACCAAAGCACCCACCCATTGTACTGTATTTTTGGGAGCTCATCCCATTCTCTTCAATGCTGTGCCATAACTGTGTTCAGTTATGGAAACGCTTATGCTGCTCTAACCTCCTTCTCACACTCCATGTGCCACATCTTGCTAAGCAAAACCTATAAAGCAGCTTGCTACTGTGTTTCAAAGTCACTTTCATTCAAAAAAATTCAGGCTTCTTAAATTTCTTTATGATACTCAAATCTTTTCCCCCATCTAGAAAGGGGGTGCAGAGTGAGGATGAAGTTGCCGAACAGAAAATAATTTCTAAGTACTTCAAAACTTTCAGATTATACAATTTCTGTAAGAAAAGTTCAGTTATCAAAAAAGTTATTATTTTCCATTTTTTGCTTTCATTGATGATATAGCAAAATAATTTAATATTTATTTATGCTTGCATAATTCACACTTCAGTTAAAATATAAATTCAAAATTAAGCACTGATCAGATTCCAGAACTTTTAGAGTATTCATTTTAGTAGCTACCTTATGAAGACTATTAGGATATCAGAAATTACAGTCTGGACTGGAATTTTTTAATTACTGGATAAAGAAGTAGCAATTATTCATATGGTTAAGTCTCTGTAATTCTAATTACCTTTTTGCGCCTGCACCACTTCATCATCTAATTCCTTTGGAACAAAGATCTCTTTTATAGCAATTAAATCATTTTTCACAGTCTCCAACTGTTCTCCATCAAGTGTTGCTAAATGTGACTGAATCTGTAAAAGAAAGGACAGTATTACTAAATGCTAATTTAGAACCTGAATCCAAAATAGACTAAGAAATGGAAACTTCTATTATGTTCAAATCTTGTCTCCAATCTCCCAGCTTAGACATATTTTTAGATCTTGTCAACAGAATTTGTTGAGTATCACAAAAATTACACTAGTCTTGCCACATAATCAGGTCCCTTCCTTCCTCCAGAACATGAGTTTTGAACTCTAAATCTATGGTTTAAGTGCAAACTGTTTTGGGATTGCCGGGATGAAGGCAGCAGGCAAAAAGAGCACAGGCATAATGGTTAGTCTGAGCACTCATGGGAAGAGATGGAAAAGGTTGCCTTCAAAATGCAGCCAAAATTATTGACAGTCTACCTGTTCTGAAGAATGTATTGGCAGGTCTTTGCATGTCTCAGCTATCTGCAAGTCCCTGCATATCTAACAGGATGGCACACCTAAGAGGGATGGAAACAGATTCTTTGAATCACTGTTTGTACTACAGTTAGATGGTGTTAACTCCATGAGCAGAGTGCTCCTTCTGCCTATGGAAGCCAGGAGAAACGCCCTTTCTCCCCTTGGTACAAAGTTTTACCTTTATGTTTGTTTCAAGGGGCTTTTATAAAGCCTGTTGGACAGAGGTGCACTCTACCTTAGTGCAAGGCTGAACACAGCTGTTACTTTCTTACTGGTGTGTCCTTGTGTCCTGTGCTCAGGGTTAAACCCAAGACACAGCTGTGGCACTCCAGTCAGGTTGGGAAGGACCACATAAAGCCTTTTCCTCCATTTCTATAGCACTTCCATTTCAAGGGCTAACTGGGAACTTCTTTTAATGGAAACTTGTAAAATAAAAGCTTAAACACACATGTTTTCAGTACCTCTTGCACTCCTCCTGTGGCTTTTGGGCTGTTAGAAGTAGTCTCAAGTTTCTCTACAGTACTTTTTCTGTATTCTGTGTCTGGGTGCATCTGTGCATGGTAAATGGAACATTTATCTGAGTACTGGACTTGTTGACCCACACAGTCACCATCAATCCTGTTGGACTGAGTAGGACTATGTACGTGTCTAGGACACAAATGAAGTGCATCAGAAACCTCATGGTAACAACCTGCACATGTCTGGCTTACCCTGTGGTATTTCACAGTAAAATAAAAATATTATTGACACATGCAATTAACCTGAACTTGTTTTCTTTCTATCTATCTATCTATCTATCTATCTATCTATCTATCTATCTATTTATCTATCTATCTCATTCCTGTTTAGTGGGTGGGGGTTTTTGGCCATTTTTGGTTTTGTTTTTTGCTCCCAAAAGCAGACCCTTGAACCTTACATGTGTAGTTTGAACATATAGTTTTTCATCTAGGTAATAACAAAAAATAAAAATAACATTGACAGTATGCACCTAACTGTTATTAATATAAGCTTCTTTTATTTGTGAGAGCAAATAAAATATTTTAAAACATAAGTTGGTTATATTCTAAGAAGTACCCCACAGGCAAAGAATGCTAATTACAATAACAAACAAAAAAGAAAACTTGTTTTTAAGAAATTTATTTAGAAAACTGTTTCAATACAAAAATACCACCACTAGGAATCTAATCTACAGAATTCTATTAGTCCACTGTCAGCAATCTACTGATGTACTAGCAGAGCAAATAAGTTGAGAGTGAAATTGAAATACATATTTATCAGATAGCCTTATTAATATTACCATCTTCAGAGAGACATTTGTATACTTCCAGTAATAATATCTTGGTGTAATTCTATGCAACTTTAAAAAGTAACACAATAAGAACGGAATAAGTAATCTGGAACTAATTTTAATTCAGCAACCTCCACGGGTAGTAGGTCTGGAATTCCTGAATGTAAGTATCTGTACCTGATTTCAACCAAAGGATTTCAACCTTGCAAATTCTGCAAGGAATTTGCAAGACATCTGCAGTGTTACAAACTGTGTATGGCAGACTACATATGGTCCTAACAAAAATACCTCTCAGTTATGAAGTTTGAGTTCATCTTGTAGTTATATTTTAGATGTACTGAGTTCCAAAACCCAGGGCCAGCCCATAGGATCAATTCAGCTTTCTCTGAACTTGATGGAAAACTTACTGTTCATTCTACATGCATCTGCAGAATAAAATTAAAGTAAAGATAAATTTTTTTACCAACCATATTGATTTATGATGACTGCATACTGTACCTGAGCTTCACTTTCATTTGACAGGATTTCCAGAGCTTCAAGATGAGACAAACCTTGGAATTCATCAAAAAGTAGTCCATAATGTGCTGTTCTTTCTACTGTAACTTGCTGGGCCCGCCTCTGTTTCTCTTTTTCTTTGGCTTCTCGCAACAGCTGTAAAAATATACATCATTCCATATTTTATTGATAGTACTGTAAGTATGACAGATTTTATTACTATCTGCTTCTGTGTGTCTAGAAGTAGTAATAAAATTTGGGACTATATCACACCTGCAGAGCTGAAATTTTAGAGGTGAAATAGCTAACTTCTTTTTTGATAATTTTCTCTGATAAAATATTTCTATAATATTCTAAGCAGGGTTTTCCCAATGGTAATTGCTAACTATCTCTCTTTAAAATACCATGAAAAAAAAAATCCTGCTTGTATTTTCAAAAGCAGTGTCAGCTACAGATACTATACAATACATTTCCTCACCCATTATAATGAAAGAGAAAGGATTATTTCATGTGCAGCCTTAAAGAGCCATGCAATTCTTTTTACAGATCACAAAATGGGAAGAGTATTATTTTCAGGACCTATCCACCAACTTGCATAAAAAAATGCACCTACAGAAATATTTTCTATAAAATATTCTTAGCAAATACTAAAGTCAGTTTTATGTGACAGAGGGACTGACAAAAGAGATCAATGACTTATACCAAAGATGGAGCAGAACTACCCTTGGGTATATTTTGGTGGGCTTTTAATACACTTCCATCAGTGTACAAGAAGGATAGACTAGGATAGGATAGGATATCCAATAGGATCTTCTCCTCCTTCCTTCTGTTCCTGGATGAAGTGGTCTCTCATGAATTTCCTACAGTAAAGGTGGTAAATATATCTGAACCACATGTTAGGTCACATGCCAGTCTCTGAATACAGGTGAACTCCCCCCACTTATGTTACTCCACTGTTCAAAATTCCTACAGTATTGTCTTCAGTGATTTGTTTAGTACAAAAGACTTAAAATTTACACTACAGTACATTTTTCCTCTGAAGTCTCCATCTTCAAAAGTTAATTCACAAAGTTTTATGAACAAATCACTGAAAAGCAACAGTGCAACCCCTGAGAACTGATTTATGCTGCATGCTGCCTCAGATTCTATGTGCAAATCCATGCATGTTGTTAAAAGAGACATTCTCAAAAGCTCATTTTAACCCTGTGGGCCTCAACAAGAGTTAATTGCTTTTGATCTACTATTACAGTCTAAATCTGTTAACTCTTCCAATGACAAATACTAAAGATGAAACATCTCATTAAAAAAAATACCATACTCTTCTCTACAAAGAAGTAAACATGCAGTAAATATACTTTGTTTTCAATGTCTATTGTTTATCCTCTTTTCAGGGTCTGGAGAACTAAAATAATTTTGTACTGACAGCATTTATACTTCTGTTTTAATCTCATCTCTGAGCTTTAAAATATGAATCACAACTGTGTAAGGATACCATTAAGTTAGATGGACACTGAGATACAACTTTTTATAGGTTTAATTCCAATGAGACATAAGTTATATACCAGTATTACTGATTTCCAAGGAAACCAGCATAGTAAAGTTTATGCTGGAAGATATCTATCTACAGCTGTTACCAAAACACCAACAATTTTATTTTGCCTCCAGAGTGTAATGATTTATGACCATATATACTATCTTATTTAAATCAGCAATTGCATATATGATTATGCAGAAAAGGTGATTTTACATTATCTTTTGTGGTTCTATGAAGAAAAATAAAGTAGAGCAACTGTAAAGCTTAATATTTATTTCCATAAGCCCAGCCAGCATCTACTGCAATAAATAAAGCCTCTCCCTGAGGCATGTGAAATTCTGGAAAAAGAATCTGAAATTGCATTGACAGAGTAGTATTTAAATATATCCAACCTGAGATAGTGAGACTGTTCTTGCCATCAGTGTTTTGGTTTTCTTAAATCCAGGATCGCTTTCTGCAAGGACATTCATGGTTGTCTTCCCAATAAATTCCAAAGCATCTAAGCCTCCAGATAATACACTTTTCCCCTGTATAAAATAATGTGTTGTGGTTATTTTCTTCCCAGTTTAGAGTAATATGAACTGTAAAGAGGATTGTCTTTGTATACACCATCTTTGAACATTCAGGTCCCTAAATTTCCTATACTTCAACTAACAATAGGATTGATGCATTTACGTTGTTCTGAGTAAGTTTTAAAAAAACAAACAAACAAAAAAAAACCCTATACAAATATTTCCAGTTAATTGAACTACTTACACCAGAGGAAATGTAACAATTGTTGTAAATTAAAAAAAAAAAAAGTAAAACTGCTGGAGCACATCTCCTGTGAAAACAGTCAGAGAAAACTGGGGCTGTTCAGCCTGGAGAAGAGAATGCTCTGAGGAGACCTTCCAGAAGCCTTCCTGTACATAAACAGGACATATAGGAAGGCTTGAGAGGGACACTTTGCAAGGGCAAGCAGTGTTTGGACAAAAGGGAATGGCTTTACTTTGAAAAGGATAGATTTAGATTGGATATCAGGAAGAAATTCTTCATTATGAGGATGGTGAAGCACTGGAACAGATTGCCCAAAGAGGTGGTGGAAGCCCCACCCCTGGAAGTATTAAAGGCCAGGCTGGATCAGGCTTTGAGCAACCTGGTTTAGTGGAAGGTGTCCATGCCCAAGGCAGGACATAGGAACTAGATGATCTTTAAGTTCCCTTCCAATCCTAACTATTCTGTGTCTCTGCTATTCTATTCTATTCTATTCTATTCTATTCTATTCTATTCTATTCTATTCTATTCTATTCTATTCCATTCCATTCCATTCCATTCTATTCCATTCCATTCCACTTTAACTTCATGCAATGGCATCTGGTTTGTAGGAATTTGTTTTAGACATGAATAATATGGAGCCAAGCCCATCATGAACAGAAGATTCTGCCTCACCTGATTTTTAAGATTTTAACACTTGCGATGACTCTGAAACTGTCTATTTAAATACATATGTTTTTCTGTGTCTTCATATTTTTTATGTACACTGAAGAAGTTTCACTTACTAAATATTTCCATTTCCATCTGGATTATGGGTGTGTCAGACACTCAAATGCTGATGTAACCTAATATATAATGAAAAACCCTTCCAAAGTCTCAAGTGGCATTACAGGTGACTTACTGAGACTTTAAGTGATTCTTTTTGTACCACATTGATCACTGTGGTACAGCAGCTCTCCAGACTGCCTACAAGCACATTTCTCTTATTTGCAAATCTTGTATAATGCTCAAGTAATCTTACTGGTGGCCAGCTCTACAAGCCATATGATGTTCCAGGTTCTGTAGAAACAGTCTTAGGAATAATCTATAGGAATCTCCTCCTTCTGTTCCCAAAATCTTTGATATTAGAGTGATGAGGCAGTCAGAGTGAACTAGATATACAATAAAAAATAACTGCCATTTCATAAAACTTGCTCAGTGGGGAATTAATCTTCTATGCTTTTACAGCAAATGTTTAAAGACTTCTATAATTTCAAGTGAAACACCAGGTGCAAAAAAATTTTTAAGGTGCAACAAAATTTTAAAGGTGCAAAAAAATTTGGGGAAGAAGATGACACAAAAATTTATTTGGAAATGGTACGGTACAGGATGAAGTTCAACACACAAAATATAAGGTTGATAGGAAATAACTGTGAACAAAAGATTTTGCCTCTACATTTGTAATCAGACCCCTGTCTAGGAAGGCTAATATGAAATGAGAGATTAGATAAAGAGGTGAAGGTAAAGGACAGGAACTAAAAATAGAGAGCTTGGTAAAAGCCTTAAAATAAGCAAATTGAGTATTTTCTTATGCTATCTGCCTTCAAAAATGGTAACAAGTCCTATCACACTTTCTCTGGAAGGACTTAACTGTAAAAATAAAAAATCAGATGATGGTACAATTATAAAAAAGATTTTCCAAAAATTTGCAGAATTCTACATAGTTTTGGAGAAGACCATATTTTTTCACTGAAACTGGTGAAAACATAGTAACTGAGCTGGTTCTTTTTGACTTTTTATTTTTTAATTAGACAGTTTAATTTTAAAGTTATTTTGTCATGGAAAAGACTCTAAACAGACTAACAAAAGAAGTGTTTTTACAAAGACCTGTAATTTAAAAAACATGACCTACAGTGAAGTTGAACCTAAAAATAATGAAAAATAACTAGAGCAGAGAGACCAACTAAAATGACTCACTGTGTTTTGTACAGCACTAGTGATAGCTGACAGCATGCCACGAGATCCAGATGAAGGAGAAGAAGGAATATTCTCAGAAGAGCTTTGGGCCAAAGAATCTTCTGCTTCTAACAAGAGAAAACAAGCAGGTTACAGCATAATTTCAACTCTGCAAGTCAAAAATTTCAGTAAACTGGTTTATGTGACCAAAATCTTAACATTTTCTAAATGGATCTGATTTGGCAGGGTCAAAGAGTTTTGTCCAATTTCAGTGGACTTGAACTTACGAGTAACTGGTGTTTCAGCTGCAGGAGGCTCTGCTGTTTCCAGAGATGCTGAACTTCCACTATGAATTCTTAGGGTAGTTCCTGCTTTTTCCTTTACTGCTGTTATCCCATGACCTGTAGGAGAGGCATATTTTAGACTACATGATTTGAAAACTCATTACTATCAGTGCATAGTATTCTTATACTTCATGAATTATGACAAACAAAATATCTATTAAACTTACCTCAATTGCTTAATTTTCTCTAGGTTAATAATTCACTTCTACTATATTAATATTAACTGAATATAAATTATAAGGCTGAAATATAACACAAATTATGCTGGATCTGAAAAGTAAAAGTTATTTCAGTGGCCCACATAAGTTTAGTTCCCTGATTTTCAAAATGCTAAATATTCTATTGCAATCAGTTTAAATGGAAACTTAGTCCTCCTATGGCCATAGGGTATCACCTCACATAGTTTGAGTATTCTAGAACAATTAACCCAAAGTTAATGGATTGTCTATGACTGCAGGACTGAGGCAAGGAATTGTTCTTCCTCTGCAGAGGTGCTATGTTTTTAGGGATACTGACTCCAGTCCCCAAAGTTATTTCAGGATTTAAGCTCCTTGATTTCTCATTTGAAGTAAAATTCTGAAGTGTCTCTCCCCAAAGCTACTATTTAAATACACTTTGTAAAGTCTCCTGATATCAAATGACACAAACCGAACTATTGCTCCAGTGGCAGGTGATCTCCTACAGAAATTTTACCACCTTTATATTATTCATTTGCAGTGACTCCCTAGCCTCTATTAAAATGGTCTACTTTAATATGAAGTATACATGTTGCTACTGTTTCTATCTAAATATTTTTGACAGAACAGCATTGCCTTACTGGTTTTCTACAACAGAGTTTATTTACACTAGCAGATCACAGGGACTGGTGAGTCCCTGTAGTCAGTCAAGGGGAGGCAGTATCTTCCTAATCTGCATCAACTGTAGTTGAAAAATGCTGCCCTTAAAAAAGAGTACTCTAAAATTGTCTGCCTATTTTGCTTCTGGATATGTGTACAAGTATGTCCATGATATACTTCTCTCATTATAAGCAATCCACCTGTTAATCTTGCTTTGCTGGAAGTTTCTGTGTATCAGCTAAGGTGCAACAGGTGAACAACAAACCAGGTGAGCAATATTTCTTTCCAACATAAAATTAAATAGCTTCAGTGACAGGATTTGATCTTTATCTTGTACTGTACACTGTCAGTGCATCCTGCATAAAACTGATCACTTCTAGCAGTAGGACAATCCAGAGTGCTTCAACTACCTGCCTAACAACTTATGAGAAATGTTAATGACAATTTCATACTTCTTTGATTAAACTGAACTGTAAATAGATAAATTATTTCAGAGAAGGCATTAATACAGATGGTCAGGCAGATATCTAGACATCTAAGGTGCAAAGTTATGCATAATGATTGTGTTGTCCACAATTTCCCACAACTGTGTGCACTCTATTTTAGAGAAGTTCAAAGCATCTTTTCTGAGTTACATTAATTACAGCCAAACAGCCTATCACTTGCCAGTGCTCTACAGCATTCTGAATAAACATATACATCTGTGTGTGTAGTCATACAAATATGCTTTCAAACATCTCATTCAAGAAAGATGCAGCAAATCTAGTTGGAGTAGGAAAAAGGAAAGCTTAGATTTATGACTATATGTATTTATGAATAAATATACTGTAGAAAACATATGTGAAGCAGCACTTCTGAAAGATCACACAGGAAGAAAACTGCAGTATCTGGAGGTAAACATAAAGAACAGATATGGCCTATGGAACAGACCTGCAGAACAAGGAATTTCATAGGCTGCACAAGGTCCCAATGTTTCACACTGTAACAGCCTAGGCAGATAAATGCTTTTACCTGTCTAAAGGAAATATGACCTTTATCTATTTTACTTGTGTCTTACAAAAAACAGTAGTGCATCCAACTGTGTGACTCATACCAGGTTATGCACCACAATGTTTAAGTCATTGCTGGATAATTTCCTGACTTTTGCAAAGTCTGTTCCAATGCAGATACTGGAGAGCAGTGTACTGCATGGTCTAATCTCAATCTCCCACATATTTTAATGAGCTCAATGAAAATATTAGCATGTACAGATTCTTTATTTAATCCCCATATTCCTGGGACTCAAATCACTATTAGTTGTGCTTTTACACTAATATAATAGACACTGCATGTCACATTCCTTTCCATTGCTTCTGCTCACAACTTTTTAAATGCGCAAGAGTTTTATTCTTTTCATTGACTTAATCAACCTGACTTGGTAACAAAATACTATGGTCCTGTAGTCGTATAAAAATCCTATAAATATTGAGCAAAAATTTGAATTGTCTGCAAAAGTTACACGTTTTCAGATCAATTTCCCACTTTTTTCCTGTGATTTTTTTATAGCCTTGAATTGATTCCCATAGTTTGGCAGACAAGCTAACACATTTAAGAAGAGAAAGCACACAGTTGCTGTATTGGTATTTACTGACCTAAAAAAGGCAGCATTTTTGGAGCTGTGGTTAAATGCCCTAGAATAATAAGAAGATACTCCAGGTCAGCTAAGGGTGGCTTTGCTGAACTAAGCTATATGGCATGTATGTTTGACTGCAGCAGCAAAACTAGATGAGATCAGAAGACCACAACTGAAGCAACCATACGTGCACAAACAGGGCAGAAATGCCTGTAGCCTTGGAAATGAAAATGATTATTTGTAATTTCAAAAGGCACAGAAATAAAAGAGGTCACGGGAGAGAAGCCTACAATTTAAAGATGCACTCATTTTGTAACACTGGGTGTGCTAATGCAACCGAGCTGACACCTCTGACATCTCCATTTACTCTTCTGTAACAGCAGACAGAAGAGCTATGCAATAGGCATTGTTAACTGTGAGCTTTTGGAAGAAAGCACTCTTTTTTACCCTGTGTTATTGCTTTTGTTTCTCTTGCCTCCATGATTCCTTGCCTTTCTATTGGCTGGCAATTTCCACAGAATATTATTGTTCATGTTCCTAGCTGGGATCTTTCATTTTAAAAGGAAGGTTTTGCTAACCTAACTGCCTAACAACATGACCTGCCTTTTGGTTTGCCTGATCTGCCAAGGCCAGGTTACAGCACTCACAAACGCTTTAGTCAGATCCCATCCCACTTCACTGCAAGCTGTTTTATCTTCTACCTCCCAGCTTAGTAGCTTTGGGTTCCCTGAAGAGCTGAGAGAGGCAAACAGACACCTCTGGAGGGCAGTTCACTATGTCTGAAACCTAAACCACTCTGTATGGGAATCACCGATCCCTTGTCCATCTTGTACTCACAGGCAACTGGACTCTCTGATTCAGTGGTACAGATGGGGAGGAGTTTGAGATTTTGTCCCTGGCTAACACACTGCCTTTGTAACTTGTGTCCTACCATGGGAGCACATCTAATGAAGAACTGATCAAAATTTAGTCTATTAACATGAGTGAAGCCTCATCTAGCTCAAGCTAAAGAGGAAGACCAAGGCATTAAATGAGCATCTTTCACCACATGAGAAACTGAGGAACCTGAAACTGGCTGGAGGAGAATCACTCCACATAATGTAGTATATAGAGATGTGGACAATCCAGCCATGCTCTGGTTTTGTACACTAAAAAGTGGGACCCCATTTTGCTCCATTTTAGGCCAACCTATTGGCACTCCATTTACTTCAAGCCTTCACAAAACTTCTCTTCCGGGCAGTTAAAACAAATAAAAAAAAACCAGGCTAGATTCTTGAAACACCTATCCTATCTTGTCTATAAATCAGGAATCACTCCAATTAATCTAGTAAATGAGACTAGATTCAGATCTCCTTATTGCAAGCATAAAAGGTTTCAATAACAGCAATAAGCATAAAGGGCTGTTACACCATTTTTTGGCTCTCAGTCTCTTCTAGACTATAAGCCCATGTTAAAAGACATAAAGAAGGGAAAAGAGATTGCCAACCCAAAATGCACCCACATTTCCTTCTGTCTGTTACTTCCATTCAGCATTCTTAAAAGGAATAACTGCAAAGGGCCAGCCTTGCTGCTACAGCAGCTGAAAAGTGTTATTTACAAAACAGTTGTGACCACCACGTGATTCCAACCCAAAGTAGTTTTCCCTTAATCAGCCAAATTTATGAAATCAAAAAAGAGATTAACTATCCTCTTTATGATCACATAAAGTACAAGCATAACACCCAGCCTTCTTTTTTTAATATTGTACTTTATTTTGCAACAGGGCAATACCTATAGAGAAGACATTTGCAATGTTTGAATACTTTAGTTTCACATTATCTGCAGCATTGGCATTTCTGTTCCACAGAGAAGTCAACTATGTAATGCTGATTATTACACATACCCATGCATAATAATATCCAAGCTCATGAACACAGTGACATCTAAAGAGACATTTCATTCTGTCACACTGAGTGACAAAAAGTGCTTTTCAGCATACCAGGGAGAAGTATGGGTGTCTGATATTTTCATGTGCCATTCTCATAGCTGAGGAACTAGATGAGAATATACACAAGAACAAAATAATCAAGATAGCAGAACAATAATTACAAACAATACATTAGAAAGATGCATTACGCAGCCTTATAGTATGAATTTCAGGGATCACGTGAATCAAACAGCTGGGTTATTTTTTATTACTTTTATTGTGTGAATGTATTGACAGGTGCTAGTCTTAGCAATGGTCCTAAAGATAAAACACCTTAAACTTACACAGAGTGAAGCATTTGTATACAGCATGATAGAGAACAGACTTTTCTTGGAAATGCAGCTCATTGAGCACCGTAACTTCAGCACCTTCTGAATGCCATACCTCATTCAAAGCACAGCATATGAAAGGCAAGGCTTACAGAAGGCAGTTACTTTAATTAAGCTAGCAGATAGATTCGTTGGAAGAAAAACCAAAGACCCAAGCTTTTAAGCATAGAAGATGTTTTAAAAATGCAAGTCCCAAGCTGCCAGGACAAACTGAAAATATATTTTGCCTACATAAACCCTGGGGATGAAGAGTTTGCTGTTACAGCTAAGCTAACCTAATGGCTTCTTGGTGCAGTTATGGGAGGGTCTACTCCTTCCCACATTCCACGCTTGTCCCTTCTGCTTGCCCCAAAACTGGTCTCAAAGAGTCGGTTCAAGGAACTGAAGAGGCAGAAAATGGATTTTTCTTTCCTCTAGAGTTACTCTTACATCAGTTTCACTTCCTAAACTGGATTAGAGGGAACTCAGAGGAACATGAATGCTGGTACAGGGAGAAGGAAGAAACACACAAAGAAAAGACAGGTGAGGGATTACACATTTCAGTGGCTACTACCCATTAATTGATTGACTTAGCTGCAATAGTCACCCTCTCAAGCAGGATAGTTTTATCAGCACTGTCAAAAGACTGCCTTGTGTAATGGCTGACCTACTAAAAAACACAATTGAAAAGAAAGACACTAAAATGGTGATAATTAGTACAAGTTGTTCCTCCATATCACAGTGAGCCTTCTCCCATCTCATCATTCCAGCAACTATTTCAGTAGTTCTGTTCCATTGTGATTCTATAAGGAGGAACCAACTTCCCTGCACCTTTCAAGAACAAAAGAAATCTCTTCACCTCATTGATGAAGTTGATTCAATAGTTTGCTTAGTGTGACATCTAGTGTCAGGACCCCAAATATGGTTCAGGCAGTGACTGAAACTCCAAGGGCATTACAGATTCTGTTGTGTAGAGGAGTATCACATCTGTCTTGTCGTGGGGACCTCGATCCAAATAATGTCAAAATCAGTTCAAAGACAACAGATATTTTCTTTGGAATAAAAAACCACCACCAAAACAATCCATGGCTGTATGTGCAGAGTTAAAGGAGGATGAGATACAAACTACATGGAAATCGAGTTATTACTGGGAACTAAAATCAGCTGGAAACTCAGTTATTATTGGGAACTAAAATCAGCTGTCCTAAATAAATTATAGCCATGCATTAAAAATGCTCATGTGTTTGTGAATTCTCTATCAGTGTCTGAAGGATAATGAAACTGAGATCACTGGAACAACATTTTAACTCAGTCTTAAATAGGTAGGAATGCAAGAAAAATTAATTACAGTAAGAAGAATTATTCACTGGAAAAACCTACCCAGGAATATGGTAGAGTCTCTATTGCTGGAGGTTTTCAAGATGTGACTGGAAAACATCCTAGATAATCTCATCTAGAGGCATAAAGCCTTTCCCACAAAACCCCTGACTAGATGACTTTTCAAGGTACTGTCCAACCCTGGCTGGTCCATTATACTCTTTGTTAAAAGCAGAATGTATTTGTTTAAGCTTTTAAGATGTTATTTAGTCCACCTCAAACTGTTTGTGCTATTTTTACAAAGCACAATTTTGAAGAAAAACATTAGGAATAGCAGATATTGGTCATATTTCACCAGACAAGCAGCTGTGTTGTACAATATGATGACAGAACAACAGAAAAATCACAGACTGAATGTGTTGCTACTAAATCTTAACTCCAAGAAGGCAGTTTTACTCACAGCATTTGCTACACTGAAGGAATAGCAATTTTACAATGGACTGGTCCATAGCAAAACTATTTTCTGGTGTGGAACAGGAGATGAAGTGTTGGTTGAACTGATCAGATATTGAATGGAGTAACTTTGAGGAGAATAATAAATATATAATAATAATAGTCATAATAAAGCTTATAGAAATTCCCAATAGCTTTAGAATTTTTTCCATATATCTCACTAGGGAATTATCATACTGAAGGAAATGCGTGGTGTATTCAGAACCATATCCTGTCCATGACAGTGAGAGACAGTTAAGTGTTCCAGAGGATCAAGGATGAATTTTCATAATAAACAACTAGGAAATAAGCCCTCTGTATCAGGAATATAAAATATTACCTGGTGCATTGATTTCCTGTAACAAATCTAAGACTAGCTATTTGGTCTTCCAAGTTACCTTGGGTTCACAAAACATGGAAGAACATAAATTTGATTTTTGTTTAATTCAAAGTCAATTTTGTTAAATAAATTCACAAAGTTAGATTCAAAATTATTAGATAGTAACATGGAAACTCAACCTACCCTGATCCCAGGGTCAGGAAGTCTGTTCTATGCTGCAGATTCTAGGAAACAGGAAAACAGGGGGAACTGCTGCTTATATACATCTGGGTTTAGGTGCTTTCCTAGCTGTTCTTGGTCACTGCCAGAACCTAAACAGTAGATGGGTCTTCAATGTGAAATAGTGCAATCATTCTGATGTTGAATTAAAATTATTCTAAAATTTTCCTTTTCCTTTTCTGCATGTGGATGCTCTTTTTCCAAGGCAACTTGACTTGCTCCAGCTGTGCTCATTTTTAGACAATAACAACCCTAAAAATATTTATTCAGGGTGATGACATGCCTGTTCAAAACAGACATCACACAACGTTATCAAGTCAGACTGCCTACACAACAAACTTGATCCACACACCCTAGAAACCCATTCTGAATGTAACTAGAAATGTTAATTGTTGTTGTCTGAAAGAAAATGTAGTTATTTACTCCTGACTGTGGATGTTACTGAAAAAAAAGAGAACAAGGAAATTTCCCTCCTCTGAGAAACAGACAGAAACCGTTTACTGTCCATGAAAAAGAGGAGATAAGGAGGAGAATTATTTAGCCTTATATGGGATCATAAAACCAGTATCTCTATTGAACTCATTTTTAGTAACTAGCAATTAATTTTAATTCCTACGTTCATCTTTTGAAAGTGTTCTGTGGATCCTTTATGAGAACTGACTAGCTAACAGATTGTTTTGTTACAAAACATTTCTGGTTTGTGAGAAATTATTTCCCACTGGTAACTACATATTTCTATGCTTTGCTTTTTGACAGTGAGTTTTCAAAGAGCAATAATTAAGTTTCACCTGAAGTCCTCACAAGGACACTCTGTGTGACCTATTATTGGAAATGAGAGTATAGGGAGAGGGAGTACAGGGCCCATGTTTTAGTACATTGTTCTACTGTCTGAAATCTAGTGTGACAGTGTGAATGTTTCACTGGGTGGCAAAAAAAGCTGGAATGATTTAATAGAAGTGAATTCATGTGTAGGCAGGAGTCAAACCTGGCATACAAACCATTAACACGAGTGAGCGTGAAAATCTGGGTTGCTTTGACCTGAGAAACCATAAGCCTTTGCCTGATAGAAATTGTATTGGATTATGGATTCTTTCTATGAAGAAGTCACAATCAAGTAATTCATTAACTTTACAAACAAGCCAAATACCTTGTCCATAATTTGAATAATTAGGAAGGTCCATCTTCCTCTTTAAAAAAATCATGGTTCCCAAGCTTATCAAGGCAAAATTGTCTATGAATCCTTAAGATGCAACACTAATCTGTCTAATGACACATGAAAATTATTCATTATTTCCACACATTTTACCAACTGAACACTTACCAACTGTGGCAGAAGCTGATGATAGGAGAGACCTTCCCCAGGTACCCCAAGCTCCCCATCTACTTGCTTTAGATAAGGAGTCTGCAGCCTATAAGAACAAAAATGTTACTCCACTGTCGAAAAATCTTGCTCTCAAGAGGCAGGAGGAAACACAAAGAACCTGTCAGGCAACAAAGTCTGGCATTTAATAGATGATGACAGATTGGGTATTATGTGGAGTTCAAACTTCTGTGCACAAAAAAAGCAGAAGCATAGTTCACATCATCTGTTCCTGGAAGAGCTTTAATCTCCAGAGATATCTTTACAGATGTCCTAATATTTTTTCAGGTACCCAATCCTATAAAGCCATACCAGTTTATTGAGGTTAATATGAGGGAGAGGTAGGAACCTGTCTCCTTCCTGGGTTGGAGGCAGGAGCCAGAGTTGGAGGCTTCTATTCCAAAGTCTCCTCACATGTGTAATTCAGTAGATGTGCACAGGGAACTCCTAACAACTGAATTCAATAAAAACACAGCCAGAGGATGTGCTGCATACCTTTTACACTAATGGCTAGTGCTAAGCCATTATCAGTATTCCATATTTAAATCATGTTAAGAAATTGTTGTCTCAAGAATGTGTCCAGTAACATATCACCTTTACACAATGCAAGTTTCAATGCAACCAGACTTGAAAGACCAAATTAGTATCATACTGGAAAAGTGAAATTAAACTATTACTAGTTTTCAAAAGCTTGGTGTTGAAATTTAATTTATCCCTATGTATGTTTTCCACATAACTTCCTAGGTTTTTGTGAAAAACAAGCCATCTTCACAATGCAAGGAGAGGAGGGCTTTTACAGAAAAGAAAGTATTGCTTACTGGATTGCTTTGCTCATGCAGTGTTTCTTCCAATTCAGGTTCTGCATCAAGGCTTACAGTTTCAATGCACTCGGTGGGCTTGTCTCCAGTTGTGTCTTCACTGGAAGGCAGGCTGGAAGGCAGGCTTTCAATGAGATTTTCAGTCAAAGGGTTTTCATTAATGACTGTGTCTCCTTCCTTCCCATTACTAACATTCTGAGTGACCTGTCCATGTTGATCTTGTGAAGACTCATGCAAGATCTCAGCTTCTGCAAGGTGTGGTACTGATTCATGAGGCAATACCTCATTGCTGGGCATCTCCATTACTTCAGGTTTTTCTTCAGATGGGACGCCATCAGATACGTCTTCAGACATTTTCAGTTCTGAATATAGAAAGTAAAGTCTTTTAGGTACCATAAACATTTGAGTGTTTGTTATAAAATACACAGTGTTTACCATATGCTACTGCTGAAAAACAATACAACCTTGATGTAAGATCTCCAAAAGCATGGAGCCCTGTGGCACATGCCTCAGGCTGGCACTGGCATCAGGATAATACTGTAACTCCACTCACTCTGCAGGATCCCACTCAAATACAAAGAGCAGCATTACTGCTTTCCAAAATATGGTTTAGTGAAAGGATATTAATATGTCTGGAGAAGTTAAATGTAGGAGCTTCCACATTGGTAATTTCTATACTCACTATCAGGTGTGTGTGAAAGACCATTGCAGAACAAAATAATCCAGGCTGCAACAGCCAAGCAGCTCCTGCTCTCCCTTTCATGGCTGCGACGGGTTCCTACAGCCTGCTGACTGACAGAGGGGAGGATAACGCTCTGTACCTACAACTGTGGTGACATTCATGTGCTTGAGAAGGGGCATAATCTGTGAACATGACAGGCCATGGGCCCTAGAGCCATTTCACAGACACAGCCATAGCACAGAGTCACTGCTCACGCTGTTTCTGTATCACTTGTCCCAAAGTCTTGCTCTTTGGGGAGTGCAACACTTCTCATCATCTCCTAAAATTCCAGCTGTGTGATTAAACTTCAATTCTGAAGCCAAGGTAAACTTGTATGAGGTTGTTACTGATTTTTTTTAAAGTTATGAACCAGTTTTTATTTACCAGGTCTTATTCATTCCTTATCTTCCAATGTAATTTTGGAGGTATTTTCCACCATTGTGCAGTCATCAGGCTGAGGATGCTGATGGGCAAAGATAAAGCCACAGAGTACGCTCTGCAGCTGATTAAGGAGGGGCACTGCCAGAGTCCAAAAGGACTGCTGGTCTGTGATTACTAACATCTATCTGTTGGTAACAACCTGGCATTCAGAAGACAATCCTTGACAAGAGAGCGTGCAAAATGTTGAGTTGCATGGCATAAAAAGATTTGTACAGTCCTCTCTGTAGATGCTGCCTTTTCATTGACTCTCATATTAATTAAATATGGCTCAAAGGTTTGCATCAGTCAGGAAGAATGGAGGTTGTATGACAGACTAAGAACTGGGAGGAAAAAAGGCAAAAAGCAAAACATAACTGGGATTTAGGAGAAATCTGCCTAAGAAGCATGTATTTAAATTAGCATATTTTATTAAAGTCTATAGAACTGTATACATCTATAGCTTTAGTAGCCTGTTTATCTAATGTGAATGTAGCTCACTTCTTTAAATAGTTCCAAGAGCAGCACTTTGGATCAGTGAACAAGAAACATAAGTAAAAAAGTAAGCACTTGCTATCACTTATATTACTTCAGCTTACACTGTACCTTAATATCTTCAGAAAACATTAATTCTGAAGTCAGAATCTTTGCATTTGACAGCTTTCCATTAAAAATACAGCAAATATTATAAAATGTTTTATTGTAGGGAAGTAGTGCTATTGTTGTAACAGTACTCACTGTGTGATCGACAGCATTACCTAAGGAAAATGTTTGTATTTGTAAGTCAAATTCCATCATAAGAGATGAGGATCCTCTATTAAAACCTGTAAAACCTTTACACACATACCTCATAATTTTGAATGGGCATTAGCTCTGAGTAAGCCCAGCACTTTTTAAAGGATCACACAGACGTGCACATGGATTTTTGCACTACTGGATCATCTTTGGGTACCACTCGGGCCACGGTCCCTGCAGCTGCCTGCTGAACCTTCCTTCCAGGAGCGCGGCACGTAACAGCAAATCACCGCGTCTGGCAGAACCCACGAGCCGGGCTGCACCCGGGGCCAGCGTCATTCAGCCTCTCATCCGTGAGACTGTCCTGATCCAAATCAACTCGGACAGCTCCGCCCAAAGGGAATTACTCTACTGGGAGTTTGTGAGGGAGATGCTAAGGCCAGCCTGGACCGGTGGCGGGGACCGCGCTGAGGGGGCCGGCGGTGGCGGCACCTGCCGAGCCTGTCTGAGGAGTTTCATCTCCCCTAGAAAGCAAAGCCCAGCTGCCGCCGGGCGCCTTGGGGCACGAATCACGGTCCCCGAGCGGGAGGGAGGAATAACTTTTTTGGCGACGGCACCTTGCTCCCCTCTACCTCGACGCCCGCTGTCGCTGCTCCTCCGCGGGCCGCTGCGGGCACGGCGAGCACAGGCGAACGCCCCAGGCGCCCGCCGCCGGCAGCTCCCCCTGCCCCGCTGCCCTCTGCCCCAGGCGGGGCAGGAGCAGCCGGGGCGCCGCTCCCGCAAGCCCGCAGCGGCCACAACTTCCCGCTTCTCCTTTTCCTTTTTTCCCTTTTTGAAATTCCCCTCTGGGACAGAGCTGTGTGGCGCAGCCAGTGTCAAAAGCGGCAGAAAATGCAGAAATCGCCGCGCTCCTTACCGCTCAGCAGTGCCCCGACCGGCGCGCCCCGGCTCCTTCCCTTCCCCGCCCCGCCACGTCGGCAGTAGCGGGGGAGGAGGCAGAGCGGGCCCGGCAGCCCAGGCCGGCCCCAGGGAGGAGGGAGGGCTGGCTTTTGTCCCTCGCTCTTCTTCCGGCTGTGTTAGGCGGCCGTCTGTTGTAAAGGGGCAGCGCCACGGAGCTGCCGAGCAGTCCCCGGGCTTCAGGCTTCTATAACCCAGCCCGGGGAGCCGCCCCGGCCGCCACGCCCGCCCCTCACGGCCCTCGGCGTGGGGCACGCCGCGGGGCCCGGCGGGACCTCGCTGGAAGCGCCGGCCCGGAGCGTCGGGCGCGGCTGCAGCAGCGCTTCCCTCAGGGCCGGCGGCACCCCCGCGTCCGCGATGAGGCGGAAAAGGGGTGAATTTCATAGAATCATAGAATATGCTCCGTTGGAGGGGACCTATCGGGATCAACGAGTCCAACTCCTGGTCGTATGCAGGACACCTCAAGAATCACACCACACGCCCGAGAGCGTTGTCTCTTAAACGCTTCCCGGACTCAGATAAGCTCGGCGATGTGGCTACTTCGCTGGGAAACTGGTTCAGTGCTCACAAAACTTTTTTTTTTTTTTTTTTTTTTTTTTTTTTTTTTTTAAGAAAGTAATCCTCAGAGTGAGCACTTACTGACCCGTGGGGTTGCGGAACTGAACGGAGATGTAGCGTTTCAGACACCGCTCGGCACCTCCTATCTCTATGTTTACAGGAAATCCCCTGACAGAAGCCGGCGGTGCGTGCACACATTTCCAGTCGGTGAAACACTTGGTTGAGCAAAGGAGTTTCAGGCTGTTGGGAACGCCTGTGGTTCTTGTTTCTGTGTAATTCCTCATACGCGTTCCTCTTTTTGCCACCTCATTTTAAAGCGAAGCATGGCCTTTACAGTGGTGAAAGGCAACACAGCATCGTTTCTATCACTAGTCTGCCAACGAGAGAAGTTACTTTTGATACAGGAGCCAAACCAGCACATTGTGAGCTACTGAGGAGAGCTACTCCAAGAGGTCACATGAAATCATACAGTACTACTGTAAGGCTCATCAGCAGTATAGCAGTGAATTTTCCATATTCTGTTGCTTACTACCTGTCCTATCTTTCAATTTCATTTTTGGATGACCTCTTTTCACCTGAGGCTGAGAAATTAAATATAATCTACAGAATAAGCCTTAAAGTGAAAAAGTAATTTTTTAGATTATTTCCTCTGCTTCCTGAATCATTGAAATATTAAATAATGAATGTGTTATGATATGCTAACCCAGAAAGGTAGGTTATAGTGTGGCAGTTCTGTATTTAGATCTCAGCTATGGTGGACTTTCTGACCCACATTATACAAAAATAAAGAGAGACTGGTTTATGTCTTTGCCAGGACAATAACCCTGTGTTTGGGCTTTCAGTGCCAAAGTCACCGCTCTGTTTTAATTTAAAAAAAAAACCAAACCCAAATTCCACTCAGTGTTTCCATGTTCGCTGTTTAACCCAATGACAACACTGCTGGAGTAGGAGAGAGATTATTATTCCATTCCTATTAAATGGAAATTAAACTAAGACAAATGGTACTTTTATAAACCTGCCTTGAGAAGAGTCTGACAACTAAATTGGTGCAGCAAAATGGACAAAAAATTACAATAATGCATAGAGACTTAGATCATTATTAAGTTCAGATAGAAAGGTGTTTGAATTTCTTATTCAAAAGTGGTACTTATTTTCATATTAATTTAATGAAGGTAGAAAGTGGTAAAAAGATTCATTTTTCTCCTGTTTAATATACTGCAAAGCATAAAAACATAAAGTTCAATAATAGAATAGTGGAGATATTACAGTAATGTTGTATGTGAAAAATACATCCAGAGAAAAACAAATGCCATTTCACAAGCTGTCAGTAGATGGCACAAACATGTATATAAAAATTTGGGTGTTCCTAAGTATTGTTACTCAGTAGGATAGAGTTACAGGAAGTTTCTTTTTTTTTGTTGTTTTCCTGAGAACATTTTCTGCTTTTTCGGACAGCAGGGATTTCTGGTGAGAAAAGTTTTAATTTTGTTGACTTTGTGCTATTGCTAGTTAGCTGTAATTGTTTTATATTCTGTATCTTATTGAAAATGAGCCTTGTTTTTTGTAGCAAGTGTACGATGTTCTTTCCAAATGTATGGGTAAGGAACGATGGTGAAGTTGCTTGTGTTCGGAATACTTATCCAAAAAACCTGTCCAAGTAGCAGTCCCTTATTATTAGCACTACACCCATAGTTAAGGGGGGCAGAGTGATGGCAATAGTTTTTCTTCAGTTTTCTACAGTTCAGGAACTGGGTCTAACCTGATCATGTGGTTCATCCTTGTGAAAGGCATGTTTGTAACATTAATTTTTTGCTATGTTGGTAACCTGTGAAGTGCATGTCTTAATACTGAACTGTCTTAGCTATATGTTTATTTCTTATATGGAAGTTTAGTCAGTTTATACCAGTTTTATATTGGAAAAACTTAAAACCTCATTTTTTTCTCTCCTCCTGCTCTTTAAACAACAGGACACTCTCTTGCTATGCTCTTGGCTTGCCTACCCTCCTGGATTGCTTTTCTTGATTAAGCTTTTTTTATCACATTTGAAGACATGAGGATACTTCTGAATTAAAAGTGATATGGCTATGAAGGATAATTTCTACAGTATTAGCCTCCAAATCACAGGTTATATGTTATAAAAGTTTTTACTTGTGTTTCTTCATATGATATTCCAAAGAAATTTTGAAGGTACTCATAAATAATTTTACTAAATGCTAGGATATATGAAAAAGAAAGAAAATAAAACACATGTAGAAGAATCCTATCCTTTTTTCATCTGGTCCATGGATATTGCTGAAATTTCATCCAAAGAAGGAATAATGATTTAAAGGTAGATTTTTTTCAGTTTTCTCTTGAAGCTATGTATTATGGTTAATTATAAACACATTAATAAAGTTGCCCAAACAATCAGAAGAACAGAACTGAATATGCCCAAATGCATTTTGAGGGGTGTGATGCATATAATTTTTCCAAATGAGAATTTGGAAAAAGGCTGGAAAAGTTTTGCCATATTGCCCCACTATTTCTAGATGATTTCCAAGCTTAGTTTCATGCATTCTTTACTAAAGAACTCAGTGGAAGTTTTTTTTTTGTAGGTTTTGTTTGTTTGTTTGTTTTTTGTTGTTGTTTGGTTGGTTGGTTTTTTGGGTTTTTTTTGTTAGATGAAGTAGAACATGTGTTTTGCCCCAGTAATTCTGAGAAAGCTTATGGAATGGTTAATGGTGCAGTGAATGTAGTCCTTGAAGTTGTAAATCAGTCTCTCAGGTGGTAGCTACTGTCTCATTGTAGAGTCATTAGAAATATAAAATCACAAGTTAACCCCTTCAATATCAAGGGAAAGTTAAAGGCCAGTGCAGTCATTAAAAAGTACTGAGGGAAACCTCAGGCAACATTATGATTTAAAATTAATGGGAGGGAAGGGGAAAGATGATGAAATAAAAAGATATTAGAAATCTGGAAAACAGCTTTAAAAAATATTTACACATGTAAAATTGTTAACCAAGTTCTTACCAGTTCCTCTTTTAGAGGGGCAGTCTAATGGATTTATGCAATAGCTAAAAGGAGATTTAAGACAGTATTCTCAATGGCTGACTTAAACAAAGGGAGGCTGGCTATCCTAAACTCCTACATTCGGAAAGAAAAAGTGACCTCTAATCGGGAAAACCAAAGCAAAGACACAGTTAGGATTTTTTTCCCTTTAAAGTCTGTTTAAATAAACCTCTCTTTCGCAACAGAGATGTTTGAGGTCAGTGTCCTTAGATCAGGGCTGGATTTTGTATACAGAGGTTCTACATCTATTTTTGTGTATATTTTTGTGTAGCCTGCAAATATTCCCAGTGTGTCTGGTGTTCTCTTTGTACACTTGTCAGACCAGATGTGAGCACCCTACTTTCAGAGTCTAAATTCAGGAAATGTTTAAGCTCAGACAAGAAGTGAACCCTTCTATGGGCTTTCCCAAGGCATAAATATAGATCATTCTACCCTCACCCTCATTTCCCTAGTTAAAAGAAGCACTTATGATCCAGTCTCAGCTATCTAATGACATTCAGCTTTTGATTCATGCTCTTGAAATCTCCATCCTATGTTTCAGTCCAAGTGTTACTGTCAAAAGACCATTTTAAAATAATGTCTCTGAGGCCAGTTCACGTCACTTAAGAGAGAATCTGAGGAGAGGATGACGTGTTGACACCAATTATTGTACATTTTAATCAAAGCTTATTACACAGTTTAGGAAACTTTCATAATGCACTGTATCACAGCAGTAATTCTGTAAGAAAGCAGCAAATTTTGGACAACTATGAAATCAGACATGGTTTGTAAAAAACAGACTCATTATTTGTTAAATACACCTTATTTGCCAAATAAAAATTTCAGTGGTCTGTTAATAAAGAATGTCTCTCCTGAATGATTGAAGAAAATCGTTGCTTTTTGAATCAAATGGAGAAATGATAAATTGGAACCTTAAAAATCTCTCTCTCTGATGGTTCCTGCACAGCTACTTAATAATACAATCTGGTTTTTGCTTGTGTTTCTTTAATTTCCACAGGATTGGAACAAAGATGGACAGTTAAGAAAAGTATTGAGCACCTGAAAGGAAAGAGAAAACAGTATGACACTAAATACGAACTTTCTCAGAAATGTTTTTCTGTACAAGTGTCTGTTTGCATTAACCTTTTTGAACCATGTCAGCCTGTCTGTGGAAGATAAACTCTTTTCATCTGTTTCTAACAATTTTCCAGAAGATGATTCTAACCAAAAAATCACAAGCCTGCCACTCCTGTATACAAAGAGTCATCAGTCCAAAGCTAAAAATGATTGGGTTGTGATACAAAATACAACAGAAAGCCTGTCATTGTCAGAAATCATAAATGAAAATGTAAAAAAATTGATAGCTTTATTATCTAATTTCAGACAAGGATCCAGGTTACAAAATCTGACACTGACAAATGTGTCAGCGAAGTGGAATGATCTCATGGAAATTTTTCAGAATGTATGGCACTCATCCGTTGAATACTTCAATATTAACAATGTAACACAGCTGTTACACATTAAAAGATATAAGTTTAACTACTCAGGTACTTCTATGAAAGCATTGACAATGAAGAAAATTATAATCACGGACATGTACTTCTCACAGGATGACCTATACAAAATATTTGCAGATATGAATATTGCAAACATGACAATAGCTGATTCGGAGATGATTCATATGCTTTGTCCTTCACGTAAGAGTCCCTTTAGATACCTAAATTTTTTAAATAATGATTTAACAGATTTTCTTTTTCAAAAATGTGACAACCTACCTCAGCTGGAGACGTTAATCTTGCAGAAGAATAAATTTGAGAGCCTTCGCAAAGTAAGCTTCATGACGAGCCGTATGAAATCCCTGCAATACCTGGACATGAGCAACAACCTGCTGCGCCACGATGGTGCTGGCGTGCAGTGCCAGTGGGCCGAGTCTCTGGCAGAGCTGGACCTGTCCTCCAATCAGTTGGTGGATGCTGTGTTTGAGTGCTTGCCAGCCAACGTCAAAAAACTCAGCCTACGAAACAATCAGATCAGCAATGTCCCCAGCGGGGTGGCGGAGCTGAAATCCTTGGAGGAGCTGAACCTGGCATCGAACAGGCTGGCCGACCTGCCGGGCTGCAGCGACTTCACGTCCCTGCAGTTCCTGAACGTGGAGATGAATTCGATCCTCACCCCATCTGCTGACTTCTTCCAGAGCTGCCCGAGGGTCAGGGAGCTGCAGGCCGGGCACAACCCGTTCAAGTGTTCCTGTGAGCTGCAAGCCTTTATCCAGCTGGAGAGGCACTCGGGGGGGAAGCTGTTTGGCTGGCCGGCGGCCTACGTGTGCGAGTACCCAGAGGGCTTGCGAGGGACGGAGCTCAAGGACTTCCACCTGAGCCCGCTGGCTTGCAACACGACGCTGCTGCTTGTGACAGCTCTGCTGCTGACACTGCTGCTGGTGGCTGCGGTGGCCTTCCTGTGCATCTACCTGGATGTGCCGTGGTACGTGCGGATGACGTGGCAGTGGACGCAGACGAAGCGCAGAGCTTGGCACAACCCCCCCGCAGATCAGGAGGCCATTCTGCAATTCCACGCCTTCATTTCCTACAGCGAGCGCGATTCGCCGTGGGTGAAGAACGAGCTGATCCCAAACCTGGAGAAGGGGGAGGGCAGCGTGCAACTGTGCCAGCACGAGAGAAACTTTGTCCCCGGCAAGAGCATTGTGGAGAACATCATTAACTGCATTGAGAAGAGCTACAGGTCGATCTTTGTGTTGTCTCCCAACTTTGTGCAGAGTGAGTGGTGTCACTATGAGCTGTACTTTGCCCATCACAAGTTATTCAGTGAGAATTCCAACAGCTTAATCCTGATTTTACTGGAGCCCATCCCTCCGTACCTTATCCCTGCCAGGTATCACAAGCTGAAAGCTCTCATGGCAAAGCGCACCTACATGGAGTGGCCGAAGGAGAGGAGCAAGCGCGCCCTATTCTGGGCCAACCTCAGGGCAGCCATTAGCATTAACCTGCAAAAAGCTAATGAGAACTTGTATGAGGAAACAGATGAAGCATCTTTCTAATGGAGTTTCATCTGTTTTTTCTTTGTGAAATAATAAATATGATTTCCATTCATTGTAAGGTGTTTAACTTTTTGTTACACAATCTTGTTTCCAGCTTGCCTGTGTCTCTTCCTAACCATAGTCAAAATTCAATTCATCTTATTGCAAATCTCTTGAGATAGCAAATTGCAAATGAATTTGAATGTGGATTTTGAAATACGACTTGAAATATTATAGTGAGTTTTTCTCAGCACGATAAAATCTGGAGCAGTTTAGTATAGTAATGTGGAAGGGTGCTTCATCTGCTGGATAGTTTGCAGAGCTGCTTTAATCACAAAATTTATACAGCTTTGTCAAAGGAGATTATCTCTAAAATCAGTTCATGTGAAAGAAAATTAAGGATCCTGAGAAGATGCCTGAAGGCCAGAGCTCAAAATGGTTGCTAAATAGTCTTTGTTCAGGTTTGGTGTATAAAAGGATAGAACCCAGACACAGAAGTTTGTGAACTTTGAACTTGCCAAAACCAAGGATTGAGCAAGGAAGAAAAGTTTTGGGGTTTTTTTCTTAAGGAAAAAAAGGGTGAGGTACTTCACTTTTTAGCTTGGCATTACAGCAAGTGAGAAGCACAGAGCTCTAAGACCATGGGTCTCATACCATGGTCCTGGTACCATTTTGATCCTGAGAGGTACCTTGACCAGAGGGGGTAGGAGGGCATCTGCAGTAACAGAGCTGCCTTCATCATATTGCCTATGTTTTGAGAAACTCCTGACATCTCTAAACCATGCTTTTCCCTCCCTAGCTTTCTACTTCTTGTCTTCTCATCCATATATCTTACTTTATGTTTATTATTAAAAGAATCTGTCCTTTTCTGCTGAAACAGTACCTCTTGTAGCATGGCTATGACTTCTGGCCAGAAAGTCAATAACCAGTCAAAGCCTGAAAAAATTTCCTAGGTCTTGAGACAGAAGGTAATTTAATGGTTTATTCACTGAGTTTGAAAAACAAACTACATTTACAATATTTGCTTTTCCTTTACAGAAACATAGCAGCCCCCTCTGTCTGTGCTTATACTGTTTTAGCTTGAAGAAAGCATGGCTGGGCTCAGGCAAACTTTCACAACTGCTGAAGATGATGACAGTAAACTTCCTCTTTGCCCCAGCAAGGGAAGTTTGTTTGAAATACCAGAGCTAGATGACCATCAAGCAGGAAGTTTCCCTTCAAAAATGTTTTTCAACATGTATATGAGAGAAAAAGGGATGTTATGATGAAATCCTCATGTAGTATAGGATGTCTACATTTTATCTTATTTCTGTCTTCCATTACTAGCAAAACATTTTAGTTTTGATGCTTCTTTTTGCCTGAGGTTTAAGCAGGCTGAGATTTCTTGACCTGAAGCCTTGAACTGTGAGTGACTGTTTATGAGCTGTAGAAAAAAGGTCAAATTTAACACCTTTAGCTCGCTCATCCCACTTACCCTCAAAATTAATATAGCACACCTGTTATCAAATTGCAGACATTTCATTCAGAACTGTGGAAATAAATGTTTTCTCTGCTTCGTCCTTCCCCTCCCATTGCTGCTTCAGTGTGAAAACTGAAGATGATCAGACAGCTTGTTTGCCTATCCCTTTCTCACAACCATGGACAGCTGGATTATGTGATACCTTGCTTGAAAATGTTCTTCAAAAGCCTCAGAGTTTTAGGCCAAGAGTTTTAGTAACTCTTGAAACCTCTGTGATACAATTAACATCCACTTGTGTGTAACCTTTAGAACTCATCTGGCTTCTTCTGTTGGCTGAAAGACAGAGAAACACTCTGCAAGTCAGAGAGTTTCCAAGAAACCTTCCTGTTACTCATGTGGGAACCATAGCCATTACCAGAAATTAAGGAGTGGAAGGTTTTAACAAGGCAAGCAAGGTTTGTTTGCCACTTTGGAAAGAACCTGGAACTATGTGACCTCAGGGAATGTAGCTGATGTTATGATAAGCAGAAGTATATAATTACAGTTCTATGGTATTACAGTTTCTGGATTCCAAAATCCTTGAGTGAATAAATTGGAAAGGGTGGCTTTTAGTGAGCATGGGCATCAATTAAAACTTGTACTTTGGAGCCAGAAGCCCACATACTATTATCTTTTTTTTTCCATATGTGCCAAATAATTGATTAAACAGCTAAACGTGCAATGAATTGTTAGAGCTAATTTCTCTGATTCCACAAGACAGAATGAGTTTCTCAAGTGTTATTAGAATATTTCAAACAATTATCTCAGTTTCTGTCATACTCTCAACCCTTTCTATAGAACCAGCTTTAATCCATGAAGAAATTTTTCCATGTTCATGGGGCCATACATAGTCTCCCAGCATGTGAGCCAGTTTATCTGCGGAGTTTGGAAGGGACTGAGCTTTTCTGTGCAGCCTGGTGATGTGTGCCTGCACTTGGTCCTGCACTGAAATGCCTAACTGCTGCTGCACTCCAGTTATCAGGAAAAAGGAGTGTGTAAATGTGTTCTGATATCAGATACTGTATCAGAGCAATTCCTGGCATTTGGTTAGTCATCTTGATGACTAGCAGGAATGCTATTTTTACATACATAAAAATATCAACATGCAAAACTGATAACATAGGAGTTAAACACCCTCTGAAACATAAAAGATGTGCAGAATGAAGTTCAAGAGTGAAAACAGAAATGTTTTTATGTGTATTTAAGTATTGTATAGTATAAAGGAAACTGGCAGACAGGCAGACTTGACATAATGTGAGTTGCTTGCTGAGAGCTCAGCTCTTCTTTAGCTTTAGAAATGTTACAAAACATCATCACTGAACTTTAGCTGCAAAGAGTTTGAGGAAGGAAAGGCACCCAGGGGAAAATAAAGGGACTCTGGGAGATTCTGCTGAGAGGAAGGTTCAAAACCTCTGTGAAATCTGTGTTTTTACTCAAGGCTTTGGTTAGTCTGTTTTTTCTTTTGGAAGTACTTGCTGAGATTGACTATAATGTTCATTTGTAGTCACTGTTTTGTCAAGAGAAAACAGTATTTATAATCAATAAGTGAGGAAGTTGTGTGTTCTGCAAGGTGGCTCTGGGTTGCCAGTTTGATTTCCACAGCTTTGATCCTTGTGTCTATTTATACCAAAGCAAAATTGGCTTGAGCATAAATGTGGTACAGTATTTGCCCACTTTGACTTGTGGTGGAATTTGGCCTTTTTTCCACTGACTTGACATACAGGTGACAATGACAATTACAGTTAAAGTCCTTGTGACCAAACACCAACGTTGAGAACCTTTAATTATTGTATTAACTTGTCATGACTGCTTCAATGAGTTCATCTTCTGTAACTGTGCTTTAACCCACGTCTTGCACATGTTAAGTTGCCTTTTGCAGTTCTTGTCAGAGAGATTCTTCACTCTTTTGGCATGCTGCTGGTCCTGAATACCTTTTCATACCTGACCAAGGGTTCTGCTTCCTCTCTGGGTAAATAATGATGACATACAGGCAGAAATGTGAAATGTCTTTTTGTGAACACTGATGCAAAAACTGCAAAAAACCCCAGCAGTATAAAATTCAGAAATGGAACCAGGTATCTGCATGAACATGTGTCAGCTGACTATGGAAAAGATGGTATGTAGCTGGTGCATTTCGAGATGCATGAACAGAAATACATTGCTTTTAGGTTTTTCCTGTCATGCAAAATGACTGAATCAGTAAACTGAAACCAGCCCCAAACAAAACTTCGGTGAATTGGTTTGTAAAAATAAATTATGCAAGGTTCCTAATGGTTTATTAGAGGTATTCAGGAATATGAGTTTTATTTTAACTATCTGCAAATTTTTCTTTAGGGCAAACTGTTTATTTGGATGTCTTTTAAAGCTTCATAAAGAAGGTTGGTAAAAAAATTAAACATACTACAAATAAAAGGTGGTTTTTTAATAGTTGTGTGTGTACTACAGTCAGTTCTGATGAAAGCTGATGGTGTATTTGATTTTATCCATGCAGCAATTTTTTTTCTAGGAATTATATTCAACATAAAGCTGCCACTGTTTTGGCTAATTGTGCTATCATTGTTCAGACAACAAGTGCCTTACTCTATTCAGTATCATGGATTAATGCCTACCAATAGGAGCATCTCTTTTAACTTGGAGTCTAGATGGTATCAGCTGGCAAACACTCTTGCTGCTTTATTGAGAAACATTCATGATCCCTGGTCTTATCTTGGGTCACAGATGTTGATTTTCTCCCAGGCTCATGTCCCTGTTCCCAATATTAACTGAATGGCTGCTTTCTTGGATTCCTTCTGTGGATGCAACAGCCTGGTCAGAGAGTGAGCAAAAGGGTTTCGTTCTCTCACAGTGGACTTGAGAGACTATTTAGGGAGTCATAGAAACGATGATAACTTGTTAGTATAAACAACCTGCAGGTGGTGTTTTTCTACTCTGTTTTTCTGTTCTTCTCAAGGAGTGTTTATGAGAAAAATGTTTTTGTTAGCTAGCCAATCAAGTAGAATATGTCAAATCTGTCTATAAAAGAGAGGATTTTTCGTATTAAACACACTTCTGCTTTGAGTGAATTTGTGTCATTTCTGGCTCAACAGTGACATCCTTCAGCTCCAGATTACCCTATATTGTGTCATATTCTTTGTGGCTTCATTACAGCTGTCTTGTCACAGGGAATATTCACTGTTAATTTTTATAATTTTTTGGAGGAAGCCACAATGTGAGGTATCCTTGATAACCATTCTAGTGTAAAGATGATTGCCCTGTAAGGGTTTTTTAACTGTGCCAGTTTGCCCCTGTTATTAGCTTTGGAGATATAAACTTCTGTCATCCATCAGTAGATTACATTAATTACTCTCCTTGATGAGCAAAAAAATTTGGTAGGGTAGAATTCTGCAAGAGATCTTGATATGAACAAAAGTTGACAGTGAGAGTTCTGCTTCCTCTTTTCTGTGTGTGCAAAGAGGAGATGCAGTTGACAGATTTCTAGAACACCTGTGTAACATCAGAAGCAGACTTGAAATTAGAAATGCAGAATTAATTGAACAGTCTTGCCAAGGGAAATATTCTGCACTACAGATAGGCTTATTTCC